CACCGGTCTCTTAACGACTTCAGAGTCTCGTCTCTGCTGATCTCAATGCCACCTCTCTGCGCAACAATGGCACCTCTATCGAACTCAGTAGGGTGCAACGTCTGTACCGTCACCCCAGTCTCCCTGTCATTGTTCAAGAGAGCAAACTGTAGAGGGCTTGCGCCTGAGTATCGTGGTAACAGCGAAGGATGGAGGTTCAGTGAATATGGCACCGAGAGTAAGAACGTCTTCGGGATCAACTTACCATACGACACAGCAATGGCCATTGAGTAGTGGTTTGCAGCAAGCTCGTTGATCTCGGCATTGGACTCTGCTCTGACAACAGGCAGGCTCAATTCCGTGGCCACCGTTGCTATTGGAACGTCCCTTAGTTCCTTCAGATCCCTCCCAGTATACTTTGGGTGCTTAGCTACAACGTCAACAGCATCGACTATTCCCTTTTCTTTCAATTCAACGAGCTTCTTCAGTGAGAGTATGCTGAACTCGTCAGAGCCGAAGAAAGCGACCCGTAGCGGCCTAGCACGAGAGCACAGTGTTCTGATGGCCCTCATTGTCTGTCCTTTGCGGTGTTTGTTCAGTGTGAATTGTTCATCGCAAGCTGCCTCGAGGGAATTTTAGTGTCAACGCTCTCGTGGAAGGAAGTCTAGGCAGAGAAGGCTAGGCTGAGGAATTAGGCTGAGGAGCTAGGCAGGGAAGGCTAGGCTGAGGAATTAGGCTGAGGAATTAGGCTGAGGAGCTAGGCAGGGAATGCTAGGCAGAAAAGGCTAGGCTGAGGAGCTAGGCTGAGGAATTAGGCAGGGAATGCTAGGCTGAGGAATTAGGCTGAGGAGCTAGGCAGGGAAGCCCAGGTAGGGAAGTCTAGGTAGGGAATGCTAGGCAGGAAAGGCTAGGCAGAGAATGCTAGGCAGGGAAGACTAGGCAGGGAAGTCTAGGCTGAGGAATTAGGCAGGGAATGCTAGGCAGGAAAGGCTAGGCAGGGAAGTCTAGGCTGAGGAGCTAGGCTGAAGAATTAGGCAGGGGAGGCTAGGCAGGGAAAGCTAGGCTGAGACCCCAGGCTCAACCCCCAGGCTGAAAAAAACTCATCACCAGGCTCAACCACCAAGCACACCAGACATTGGTTAGAACGAACAGGCACTGCTTGAAGAGACACACAGCGCAGACACCATGAACAGGGTGCTCGTTGTGCTTGTCTGTGCCGTTGTTGGTGTCACAGCTGGTACTCTTTACCTGTTCTCGGCGTATGGGCCTCAATTGGCCCATAGACTGCACTACTCTGGAACAGACATCTCATTGATTGGATTCACAGGATCGATGGGAGTCGCCCTTAGTGGCATCCCTGCCGGCGTGGTTGTCGACAGATCTATCCCATGGGCACAGTTCCTCGGTGGGCTGCTCATATCACTGGGCTATTTCGGTCTGAAGGCACAATTCGACAGTCAATTCTCAAGCGTAGGCTTGAGCAGCACCTTGACCTGCCTCATTGGTGTGGGCTCCACGCTTATCAACTCTGCAATGATCAAATGCTCTGCTGCTATGTTCCCTGACAACAGAGGAACGGCCACAAGCTTCCCCGTGGCCACTTATGGCTTGAGTGCATTTGCGTATTCTGTTACTGGGCACTGGTTCTTCGGTGCAGATACCTCGAGGTTCTTGGGATACATCGCATCCAGTGCACTGGTCATTTGTATATGTGGCCTGCCAGTGATCTACTACGCTGACAAACAACAAGAGGTGCAACAGCGTGGTGAGGATACGCTCGAGCTTGAGCCATACGTCTCAGGTGCCAGTGTGGTGCACGCTTCAAAGTCCAACATGACCAAAGCTCAAGTGTTGAGGAGCTCGAGGTTTTGGATTGTGTTTTCCCTACTAGGCATCCTTGCGGGCCTAGGACAGCTCTACATATACTCGTGTGGCCTGATTGTGAAGTCATTATACCACCCAAGCGATGAGAATGAGATCAACCACGCACAGTCGTTCCAAGTGTCGCTACTCTCAATATGCAACTGTGCCTCAAGGCTGATGTGTGGTGCCTGTGGTGATTTCATAGCAAACAGGCTCCAACAGCAGCGAAGCTGGATAGTCTTTGTTCCTGCATTTGTGCTTCTCTCCGTCCAGGTGGTGTGCTACTTCGTATCTGACTACAACGTCCTATGGGTAAGCTCGATGCTCGACGGAGTTGGTTATGGGTTTGTGTGGAGCTCCATCCCACAGCTCCTACTGGAGTACTTTGGCTTGGAGGCCTTCTCCTTCTCGTGGGGGTTTGTGAACCTCAGTCCCATCCTACCGGGCTTTCTGTTCACCAGACTGTTCGGCTCTTACTACGATTCCAATTCTACTTGGGATGACATTGCAAAGTCCAAGGTCTGTGTGAAGGGGAACTCCTGTTATAACACAACGTATCGCATCACGTTTGTTTTCTCGTCGATTGCGCTGGTTCTGGCTGTGTGGATCAACGTCAGACCGTACGTCCAGAGGAGATACTCACAAGTTGCACAGCACTCTTAGAGCGTCTCAATTGGTTAGAATGGAAGTGAATATTCATTGAACGTATATGGTGTGTATGGGACATTATTACGTAATCTATTAGTAATCATCAGATATACATCCTCTGTGTGTTGTTTTATTACGTAATCTATTAGTAATCAGTATACACACCGTGATTTGCAATCTTTGTGGATATCTTAGCGGTGGTTTCCTGGTGAGCTCCAGCCTGTAGAGCCATACAAAGCTCAGGCAACTACACTGAGTAGAAGGCAGTGTAAGCCATCGTCCGAATGTCGTCCAATTGTTACGTGCCACCTCGTTCGAAGGGCAGGGGATCATCAAAGCCAGCGCAGAGGAATCGTGGTAGCAGTGGTTGCAATGTTGGTGCGATTCACAAGGGTTCAAGTGCGCAAATGGTAAGCTCGCAAGAGGCCTTGGACAGAAGAAGGCAACGGTTCGATTCTACTGGCAAGCCGGATACGGGCTATGGACTTATTAGTCGAGGTGAGGATAATAGGCTTCAGAGAGACGCGGATGCTAGGAGACGATACTTTGATGAGATACAGAGGGAATTTGCACAGTTGTTTGGTGACTTAGACTATGCTTCATTGGTAGATTCTGTGAGAGGTCTGTCGATGGAAGAGATTGTTGTCGGTGAATGTGGGAGCGATGCCTCCGACAAGCTATCACATGTGATGATATCCTTGAGTGAGTAGAGTACTGGGTGGAGTTTAATGCCACTGGACCTTACTAACGTAGAGCATAGGGAAACTACGGGAAGCATTGTTGAATATCAAGCCTGATGACTTCACCAAGAGCGTTTTTTTGTTCTCCATTCGAATCTCCTCGAGACTCGGACTCTATCAGACCTACATCCCATCCATAACGTATCTCTTGAGACACGACGAGATCCTCAGCAGAAGTGAGCTCAAGGAGATTACATATCTCTATTCTATTCATCTAGCTCACTTCAACGGTGATAATCTGGGTGCATTGGAGGTGTATTTCAAGTACAGTCCACAGGATATCCGTTTGAAGAGAATCTTGTTGGCATGGAGGACAAAGAACTATGCCGACTGGCTCGAGCAGTACCATGGGGAATGTGACATATCACGTAAGAAGATCATGGCATTTGGAGAATCTAAAATGATAACCCACGCTACGAATTGTATTCAGAAATCGTATTTCCAACTACCAAACCGTTACTTGGAATCACTTCTCCACTTGACACTGGACCAATTGAGGGATAAACATGGATGTTCGTGGACTTTAAACGGCGAAAACGTCATCATAAGAGTAAGGAAATGATACTGACGGGATCTATAACGTATATAGGTGTCACCATGGGTCTGTTTATTCATCATTAATACCAATACCAATGGCTTAGTAGGTTCATGTGTATGGGTGTCCGGGTTTTTGAGTGTCCGGGTGAATAGGTGTCCGGGTGTATGTCTGGATGTTTTCATGTCCCGCGTGGATAAACTACGCTTCCATTTTGACCTCACCTATACAAACAGAGGCATTTATAAGGAGTAAAACCCCGGGGAATCTTTACAGTAAGGATTCATCCAAGATGGAATCATTTCAAGCTATCGAGAAGATCAACTCCACGAGTAATCTCAGCGCAAAGCACTTTGAAGATGGAACGATAAACCTCAACAATGTCATGGAGGAGGTGAACTACCTCAAGCAACAAGTAAGCGATGTTCGACCCTGTTTCTCTTGTATACCGAGTGTACTAACGTTTGAAGATAACGAACATAAGGCAGGAGATTGCTGGCTTCTTAACGGGTCTTGCGTCTATTGCGCCAGATGCTAAGCGTAAGTGCTGACTTTTCCTATCTACTCCCGGTGCTTGTTTTTTGAGTGGGGGGGTAAGGTGATGAGACATAACTAACCAGAACACATGTTATCAGCTATACAGGTATTTGAGGAGAATGTGATGAGAGCAGCATCGCTGCAGAAGACTCTGGATGACTACGTGGAGCGTTACAAAAAGCTGCTGCCCTTGCTCGAACTCATACAGAGAGACCTGAAGCTGACTCCCGTGGAGAAACAGGAACCTTCCATCAAGCCTATTCCTATGAATGCTGCAACAGGGAGTGGATCTTCAACTGCAAGCACCACCATCACGGCCACAACTGCCTCGGCCAACGTTGCAAAGAAGCCTAAGAAAAGAGCACCGAAGAAGACCGCAGCCAATGCCAACCTCAAGCAAGAGGCCAACGATGGAAGTGAAACACAACCCATACTTCTATGATTGCATGTGACGATACAATGGAGCATGTACTGTATACCTAATCTAATGAAGAGCTATATCGACCTGGTTCATGGTAGAAGGCGTAGTACTCTAGAGAGTGTGTGGGTGTCCGGGTGTTTAGGTGTCCGGTTGTATGTCTGGGTGTATGTCTGGGTGTATTCTGTTGTGTCTCCTACCGCCCCGCTCACAGCCGCAAAAGAGCTCTCGAGAAATGCCTTTCAATGCTTGACAGAGATGGCGATGGAGACGACCATACGAGGCACTGTGGGCTTATAGAGAAGGAACAATGCTGCTGATCCTCGTACCACTGGTTCTGTTTGTTGTCTCCTCGGTCTGTGCGCTTGAGAATGGGATCGTTGGGTCGTACAACAAGGCCATCAAGGAGTCGTTGCTATGGGGAGCGTATCGGCCAAATGCATACGTGGGTATTAGACCACGTCTGCCACACTCGCTGATCAGTGGTCTGTTCTGGTTCAATGCTGATGATATGAACAGCATGAACTCCATCAGACACTACTGTGATCAAAATTTGGACTTCCAGGGTTTCGGGTGGGAGCATTATGACCCGAGATTCGGAGGTTGTCAGGTTATGAGGGATAACGAACTGGGTATCGACATCTCTACTGATTTCGTCAAGACTGACGATGGAAACTGGGCTCTGAGGGTTAGAGGAACACCAAGGAAGGGCTATGAGACCAAGACAATATCTATCATCTACTATACTTCACTGGAAGGCCCAAATTCAATGCTGGCGTCTGCTACTGGATATAAGGATGAAGGGTTCCCACCTGGACAATCCATCAAGCTCTTTGGACAGTCGATGGAACTCGGAGGGTTCGACCTGGACATCACAGATGGCCCTTCGACAAATGTACACAAGAGAATCAAGAAAAGCCAAATGTTGGAACCGGACATGAACCCAAGAATGACACACTACATGTCTCTTAACGTCCCTGATGATAATGCATGGAAAGTGACAGATATATACGGTGTCCTGCTACAGGATTCCATAAAGCAACTTGCTGAGAAGCACCATCAGACGAGCCGCACACCAGATCCATCTTCTCTTTTCACTCTGAGAAATTTGAACCATTTCGAAGGAAACCTTCACATGGTTCAGAAATTCTTCACTGGTGAATTTGAATTCGACATAATCTACAACAGTGGTGAATCTGAGACTAAGATCACGTCTGAGTCGATTCCAGGCTTGATCAAAGAAACAAGAAAGAAATTTGATGACAAGTTTGAAACAGCTTTTGACATTCAAGAACCTTTTAACTCTGATACGAAGTATACTACTTTTGCTAAGGAGACATTTGCAAATTTGCTCGGTGGTATTGGATACTACTACGGTGACCACCTGGTTGATCGTCATTCTGAGCTGAATGAAGAGACATATGACCAGATCAAGTTGGATGGTACGCTAGAAGGTCCGTTTGAACTGTTTACTTCCTGTCCAAGCAGAACCTTCTTCCCACGTGGATTTTACTGGGATGAAGGTTTCCATCTGATTCCAATGCTTGACTATGACGTTGATATCACTCTAGAAATCTTGAAAAGTTGGTTTGATCTGATAGATGACGACGGATGGATCGCAAGAGAGCAGATCTTAGGACCAGAAGCCAGATCAAAAGTCCCTGAAGAGTTCCAAGTCCAAAGTCCAAAGATTGCAAACCCACCAACCATGATGCTTGTATTTGCTAAACTACTCTCAAAGGCTAAGGAAGCACAAGACTCTAGAGGATTTGATAGTGGCCTGGAAGAACCTGAGCAAGTGTTGGAATACGGAGACTTGGACTTCAAGGACATTTCCGATGCGCATATTAAATATCCAGAGTTGTTGTTGGATTATTCTGAACATATTTATCCAAAATTACAACTTCACTACAACTGGTTCCGAAAGACACAGAAGGGTGAACTGGACGAGTTTGACCGTAAACCTTACTCCAATATAGAGGCTTATAGATGGAGTGGTCGCAGTTACACTCATTGCTTACCGTCTGGCCTTGATGACTACCCTAGGGCACCGGTGCCAGACCTTGCTGAGCTGAACGTTGATCTAATCAGTTGGATGGGTATAATGACAAGGGCCATGAAGGAAATTGCACAGCTATTGGGGAAGAGTGAAGATGCTGCTAAATATCAAAAGATTGAGCATGACATTCAACAGAATATTGAGGATTTACACTGGTCCGAAGATGACAAGGCATACTGTGACGTTTCTGTCAATAAGCACGATGACGATGCATTCTTTTGTTTCAAAGGTTATGTCTCCCTCTTCCCATTCCTTTTGAAACAGATGGCACCTGAAAATCCTCATTTGAAAGATATCTTGGAACTGATATCGGACCCAGAACAGTTGTTCTCTCCTTATGGAATTAGATCGCTCTCTAAAGAGGACCCTCTCTACAAGACTGGTGAGAACTACTGGAGATCTCCAATCTGGTACAATATCAACTATCTGGTTCTTGATGCGCTTCGCTATTACGCTACAGGTGAAAATGGCTCTAAACTTGACGAATCAACAAGACAGTTGGCTAATGAAACGTATACTCAGTTAAGAATCAACCTCGTGGACAACTGCTTGGATAACTGGAGCAAGACGGGCTATCTTTTCGAACAGTACGATGATGTCACGGGATCTGGACAACGCTCTAAGCATTTTACTGGATGGACTGCTTTGGTCGTTTCCATGATGAAGATGCCCCCAACTTTGTGATTCTTCAAAGCCTACTTTACCCTTTATATTGTCAAAGAGAATACAGACAAATAACTGTTATGACTTCAGAAAGAGCTCTTATGGAGCACCAGAGTAGCCAAGATAGGCCATGTCATAACAAACTGTTTAGCATATAACCTTCTCAATGGTTACACTACTTCCATAGTTGAAAAAGTGCTTCGCATACATAACATCAATCATAGGTTGAACAATTAAATAGAAAGCATATGGTCCTTTTATGAGTGGAACTAATGAACTTAATTGTGAGTAATGAAAAGGTCTCAGTATGTTTGGAATAGCAAACTATGAGATATTGCTCTAACATTGACGACTTGGGTAGACTGTTGGTTATGGTGCAGTAGATAAACATCCGAACACCCAACATGACCATAGGCGAACTTCATTGAGGGTACGTTGTTCAATATTCATGGTGAAGAAGAAGTTTAGACGGACTAATACGTACTCAAACCACTAAATATATACATGAGATCTCTTTCTTGGATATTATTAACATAGTGCTTGATGATTTTTTCGAGAAAATTATAAAAACAGATAAATCTATTTTCTTCCAGGAAAATTAATTAGATAAAGAACTAACAATCTAACGTGGAAATTAATTATATTTATGTAAATATTCTGACTAGATTATTTTGATATCTGATAAGCTTGAACAGCTACACTGAGTAGCACTGTACATAGTCCATCATATAGTTTGATGTGGGTTGTTAGTGCCTGTAATAAAGGAAGTTTTATAGTTATAGTCAACGGTTTTAACCGACGTTGTAGAGTATAGAACAATCAGAATTGACACCTCGAATCGAAGCACTTGAAATGAGAACTGGCGTAGCAGTCATTCGATTCAATGTTAGCTTATATTGGTGCTATCGGGAAGCTTTTTATAGCTCATGTGTGAGAATGGTTTGATTAAAGCTATCTCAGTAGTGTTGGGGTCCGAAAGGTACAATTAATACAGCTACTTAACATAACTTTATTCCAGTGCTTTCGAGTGCTTTGTTATTCCTCAAATGACAATAAACGGAATAAATGTTCCGAAATATTTACTCCAAAACCTTGGTGTACTTTCCAAATCACATTGTACTTTCTTCAGTTGCTTTTCAAGTGTCTGAGATGAGATTTACAGACCAACAAGCACCATCATCAATCGCTACAAAGAACAGTTGTACGGTTTAAAACCTCATAGTGGAGGGGAAAATCTCCGTCAAGACTGAAACCATTCAGCCAGCCCTTGACAATTTCAGTGATGAAATCACCTCGCAGATCGATGGATCTAGATTTGTTACATATGTTTATCAATTATTTGAGCTAATCATCAGACGTACTTCACTCATATGCCCAAAGCTGGCATGCCAGCTACCGACAACACAGTTACATCCAACAGGCCACAGCAAATCACCAGGTGAGTAGGATGCAAAATCAAAGTACATATCATCCCCCTTTTGCAATCCACCATGTGTCGTCACCAGCAATTACTGTGATGAGTGCATTTCAGAATCCAAAGAAGTCCCATCATCAAGCCACGTTACCCCTATACACTTTTCAACAGCCAAAGAGTCAGCTTACAGAATACCCAAGTAGCATGATCATAGGAGAGGATAGCATCGGCAAAACAGCCCCCATGCTACTTGTTTTTGGGGCTTTGAACTGTCATAGGTACCAGAATGATCCAACTTCTTGAAATTAGCACAGCGACAAAAGCCGGTATGTCTGCAATATTTGAGACAGCTTCACAGGAAACTTCCAAGTTGGTGTAGAAAAGCTATGTCAGCTAATATACGTTTGCCTGGGTTTGCGTCATCCTTCTGATTTGACATGGAGTATACTGTATGGAACCACATCGAGTGATGTTGATTAGGTGCTGGTTGCTCCCCCGATCAGGAAGTCCAAGCTGCAGCTTGACGCAGTTAAACCCGCCTCGAAATTGCAGACACCGATGTCGCCATGATCTTGGATAAGCACAAAGTTCCACCCTAATATCATCGACTTCTACAAGACTTCTCATTCATACTGAGGTGGTTCTATGTTCTTTGGACTAAGGCAGGCCACCACTGATGTAGAAGGATCTCATAATCTTGTTTCATACACCGAATGATGCGTGAGGATGACCTGTAGTAGATGGTGG